TTGGACCTCAATTTCCTTATTTCTAAAATAGCTAGGGTTCTCAAAGCTTCAAGAATCCATGTGTTTTGGATCCTTTTGAGAACTTTGGGCCAGATGTCTATTTCCCTGGGTGATAGAATTAGAGCCCTTTGGATGGAAGCTGCTTAGCTTTTATCATCTAATTTAGTATGTGGTTTGGGGAGTTAATTTAACGCCCCGAGTCTCCATCTCCCCTCCCTGTGCATGAATTGAGGATAGCGATTTTGTGATGGTGCTGTTGTGACGACCTTGTTGTAGTTTCCCCAGAGCAAAGGTGAAACCATAAATAAGCAGAGTCACATCCCAAAAGCCTGAAATCCAAATGCTCACCCCACGAAAGCCCACAGAAACTTGCACCAAGAAAGGGATCATCATGTTCGATTTACAGGGAAAGGGCAGGAAGAGTCGCCCAAACAATTTAAAATTGTCCTTGTTTTTCTGAGCTTTTGATGGAATTATCTAGGTTAAAGGCAGACAGTATGTAAATGGTGGCGATTTTCATAATTCTGTTGGTCAGAAGTATCTAGCAGAACACTCATTTATATGCAGCTGTGCAACAGCTATCAACATGTGACATTGTGTGAAACAAACCAGAATCCAGCATTTATCTGTTGGGATGATTGTTCATCAGAATGCAAATGCTCTTCAGTGTGTACAGAGTTCTTCAGGGTTCAGTTTTTATTACATAAGATAAGTGCTTGCTTTACCTAAGGATTGATAGGAAGTTTATCCCTGGAGTCCAAAGGAAATGAAGTTTTTTTAAAAAAATAAATACAAAGTGCATATGAGATTAACAGATTAAAAACCTAATTCCAAGTTTAAATAATGGTACAAATGGAAACTTGGCAAGAGCTTATGCTAGATTTGTCACAATATGCAAAAAAAGTCTAGAAATTTTATCCAAAGGTGATTCTGCTTACCCATTTAAAAAACCCCCAAACCTCCAAGTTTCTTGTACTGATTACCCAATAGAATTCTGCTGATGCTCTTTCAAGTGCTTTTCAAAAATATTTTTCAGCTTTGTTGAGCCAAAATTTACACTCAATAAACACATCCCTTCTAAGTGTTCTAAGTGAATGACTTGACAACTCAAACACACATTTTTTAAACCTGAGGCTAATCTAGAGAACAAAGATTTGAGAAACCAGAAATGACTATGGTCTCCTTTCTCATTTAAAAGTAGCATCCATAAAGGAATACTATGCTTTGCAATTCAAAATTGACAATGTGTCAGTAGTTAGGATGCTTAGTTGGTGTTGAAAAGGTGACTGATAGTTGAAACTGGAGATGAATCACTGGCTGGAAACCGGCATCTGGTTTCTACTTCAGGCTTTACCACTTACTTGGTAACCTTGGGCAAATTAGCCCAACCTTGATTGCCTCATAGTTTTCTCACCTGTAAATTGGGGCTAATGATAGTACCTACCTTAAAATAGATAGGTTGGTTTAGCAGTAAAATTCTTAAAGTGGTTAGGATAAATCTTAACTATTAGATCAATGTCTGTATTTGATGAGACTGTCTTTGTTCTAGGGTAGGTGGCAATGGTTCTCAAAACTTTTTGACCTAGAGACTTTATAGTTAAAAATTGAAGACCCCCTAAGTGTTTTTCTTCATGTAGATTATGTCTGTCAATGTATGGTGGTTTTGTGCCACTGAATCAGTTCTGACTCATAGTGACCTTGTATTAGGGTTTCTGAGGCTGTAAATCTTTACAGGAGCAGAAAGCCTCAGCTTTCTCCCGTGGAACCGCTGGTAGATTCGAACTGCTGACCTTGCACTTAGCAGCCCAGCTAGTAATCCACTACACTACCAGGCTGCATTTGAAATGAAAACAAATCTGAAATCTGTTAATTTATTTAAAAACAATAACCCTGTTAAACAGGAACATGTATAACATTTTTGAAATAAAAGTATCTTCTAGAAGAAAATGAGAAGATTTTACGCTTTTATAGACCTTTACTATCTGGTGTAACAGAAAATATGTTGTTTCTACATTTAATTTGTCATGATATTGTTTTGGTTGTGGTATATAAAGAAAATCCAAATTTACCACAAATTAACGTTTGAAATTTTATTGTGGTACAAATATACATCTCAAACTATGTCATCTTAACATTGATTATATTGAGTTGTGCAAATGTTCTGCTATTTTTCCAAGTGCCCTATCACCAGTATCATAACCTCAATGTAGAAAAGAGCATTTTCATAGCTTTTTCTGAGGATATTCTTTGGTTAACTCAGCAAGCCCAATCTTGTTAGTAGCAGTGATAGTATCAGTATCTCAAAGCTTACAGAATAGTGTGGAATCTGAATCCATACCTTGTTAAGATCCATTGGTTTATTCTGTACTTTGACTAGATCTTTTATACTGCAGGAATATAACTTCAGGTTTTGGCTATTGGGAAAATATTGGTTCATTGATTATGTACTTCTTCCAAGTGTTCATAATTCCATTAAACAGTATAAAAATTACATTTGTTAGCATCACTACTGATCTCAACAAGAAAATCTTTTTGGTACTGGGAAAGTGTCAAGTTCATCTGTAATGGATACAGGTTTTCCAGAGTATGAATTGTCAAAGGAAAACTCAAAATTGATCATGGGCAGTAAATACTGTCTGTAGTTTGCTTTTAAGTGACAGGCTCACTGTATTCATTTTCCAAAGAGAATATGTCTACCAAATATATCCAAGTCTAAATGATTGCTGTCTGTCAGTCTTTCAAGTAAAAAAAAAAGATATTCCTTGAAAAAAGCCAGCTAGATCATCGTTCAACCCCAACAATCTCACGGGTGAGACAGTCAGCAGACTTTAGTATGCAGTGAAATGCTTTGTGAATATTCTCCATTTCGTCATTCTGAGTATTGAGAATACTCAGAATGAAATTTAATGAAATTAATTTTTACTAAATCATGGAATTTAAGAGGTACTGGTGGGTTTTTTTTGTAACTGAGAGTGCATGGTGACTTGTATCTAATACAGTTTGATGGTTGCTTTGTTTTGTGCTAAGGGTCAATACATTGTAAAAAGCAAATACCTTATCTTCTCTCAATATATTTTAAAGGTATAAGAATATTATTTAATATTTATACTTATAATACTATTTACTAGTATTGTTGTTAAGTGTCGTAGTAACCCTGTATAGGATTTCCGAGGTTTTAAATCTTCCAGAGAGCAGAAAACCTCCTCTTTCTCCTCTGGAGTGGCTGGCAGACTTGGACTGTGGACTTTGTGGTTTACAGTCCAGTGCTTATCATACAGAGCCACCGCACTCCCCATTACTAGTATTATAAGAATAGTATTCTAAGTTTAATCTACAGAACTCCTGAACAAGTCTCAAGGAGACCTATGAGTCTGTGGACTATATTTTGAGAATAGTTGTTCTAGCGAAAGGCAGACCAATTTAAAATCCTTTTAACAAGTGTAAGAGTACGGCTTTTGTACCCTTATAATATCTAGATCTAATATATAACTAACACATTTATAGTACCAGGCACTGTTCCCAGGATGAAGTTACTTTTTCTATCTCACTTGTTTTTCTTTCTTTTTTAAAGCTTTTATTATGAATTAAGTGATAGTTTACATTGTAGAAAATGGGTTTTACACTCAATCATATTTTGTTTTATTGTGATGATTACAACCCCCTCCATGCACTGCTGGTTAATAGTATTGTCTTTAGTCCTTTCTCATTCCATGAGTTGAGAGCCTTCAGCTGCTCTCTCTCTCCACATCATCACCTCTGCCTCAGTCTCCAATGTCACTGCTTCTCTGGTTAGGATCCCATGTCCTCTCTTGCGCTTCCCACTTGATGGTCCTAGAGTCAGTTTATTTTCATTATCTCATGTCCACTAAACCCCTATATAGTTTTAGCTGCTTTTTTTGAGTTTGGCTCAAGTTTGGTAACCTCATGTAACATAGAAAAAACTTTGTTGGTTCCTGTACCAGCTTCATGTTCCGTGGTGTATTTAAATAACTGTTGCAGATTTGTATCAATCCATCTTCCTGACAGTTTCTTTCATTTTTTTAGTTCTAATTCTGGTTATGGTGCTGCAGGATAATGCACTAGATGGCAAGGTCAGTTTGAATCTCAAGGTTGGCTGTTCAAACTCACCAGCTGCTCCTCAGAAACCCTAAACAGGGACACAGTGAGTTAGAACTGACTCAACGGCACTTAACAGCATGCAACAGCATAGGGAGAAACATGAAACTTTCTGCTCCCGTCTAGATTTTAGTCTCAAACCCTACACAGCATCATGATGAGTCAGAACTGACTCTACTGCACAAAATAGGGTACTTTATCAAACAGAGTGTGCTTTTGAAGCAATTTTTTAGGCAAGTTGAAATTTTGCCATCCTCACTTCTGAAGAACATTCTGGTTGTGTATCTTTTAAGATGGATTTGCTTGTTCTTTTGGCAGTCTGTGGTTATGTTTAATATTCTCTGCCAACACCTCAGTTTGAATGCATCCCGTCTTCTGTCTTCTTTTTTCATTATCCATCCCTATAAAGTAGATACTTTTATTATTGTCCCCATTTTACATAAAAGGAATCAGAGGCATAGAGAGGTTAAACAACTTGTCTAAGAAGGTCAAGGTCAAGCTAATGTCAGAGCCAGGATTGAAAGGCAGGCTACAGAGGCCCTACACGGCATGAGAATAACTAAGTGGTTAAATACATTCAAGGAGGCATTGGTTATTATTTCCTAATAACGATTGTTGTTAAGTGCAGTCCAGTCACTTCTACTTATAGCAGCAACTCTGTGTAGGATTTCCAAGGGGCGGCTGGTAGGTTTGAATTGCCAACCTAGCAGCTAGCAGTCCAGTGCTTATCCTACAGCACCACAACAGGACTCCTAATAATGATTAGAAATCAGAAATGATAGACATTACTTCTAAGGGGAAGGTACAGGAGTGGACAAGTCCACCTACAATTACTGTATGTATGTTTGCTCTGACCTCTGCCTTCTACCCTTTGTCCCAGCAGGATGACTTCCCGAAACCAGCTGGTACAGCAGGTGCTGAAGGAGCTGCAAGAAGCAGTGGAGTCCGAGGGCCTGGAGGGCCTTGTGGGTACTGCCATCGAGGCCAAGCAGGTCTTGTCGTCTTTCGCCCTTCCCCAATGCCGGGAGGGGGGCACCAGTCCACAGGTGCTGGAGGTGGACACGGTAGCCCTGAGCCTGTACCCGGAAGATGCTCCGCGGAACATGCTGCCGCTGGTGTGCAAGGGCGAGGGCAGCCTGCTGTTCGAGGCCGCCAGCATGCTGCTGTGGGGTGACGTGGGTCTCAGCTTGGAACTGCGCGCCCGCACAGTGGTGGAGATGTTATTACACAGGCACTACTACCTCCAAGGCATGATCGACTCTAAGGTTATGCTGCAGGCTGTGCGCTACTCCTTGTGCTCTGAGGAGTCACCAGAGATGACCAGCCTGCCATCTGCCACGCTGGAGGCCATCTTTGACGCAGACGTCAAAGCCACTTGCTTCCCCAACAGTTTCGCCAATGTGTGGCACTTGTATGCGCTTGCCTCGGTCCTTCAGCGCAACATCTACTCCATCTACCCTCTGCGCAACCTCAAGATCCGCCCCTACTTTAATCGCGTCATTCGGCCGCGCCGCTGCGACCACATACCTTCCACGCTGCACATCATGTGGGCAGGCCAACCAATCAGCAGCCACCTCTTCCGGCACCAGTACTTTGCCCCAGTGGTGGGCCTGGAGGAGGTAGAGGCCGAGAGCGCTGCCGGCCTGGGTCAGGTCCCGGCAGCCCTAGCATCTCTACCACCTCCCGCTAAGACTCTGGAGTTGCTCAGCCGGGAGCCTGGCCTCAGCTACTCGCACCTTTGCGAGCGCTACAGCGTCACCAAGAGCACCTTCTACCGTTGGCGGCGACAGTCCCAGGAGCACCGGCAGAAGGTGGCCACTCGCTTCTCGGCCAAGCACTTCCTGCAGGACAGCTTCTACCGCGGGGGTGTTGTGCCGTTGCAGCAATTCCTGCAGCGGTTTCCCGAGATTTCCCGCTCCACCTACTACGCCTGGAAGAACGAACTGCTGGGCTCCGGCGCCTGCCAGCCGTTAGTCCCCAAGGAAGAGCAGGCCATGGAGGAGCTGGAGAAACTACCGGAGGAGCAGTGTGCTGAGGAGCTGGGGTGCCCCCCGCCGGCGTCTAGCCCTGGAGTGGTCTTAATGCAACGGGCCAAGTTATACCTGGAACATTGTATCTCCTTGAACACACTTGTTCCCTATCGTTGCTTCAAGCGCAGGTTCCCTGGCATCTCCCGGTCCACCTACTACAACTGGCGACGAAAGGCCCTCCGAAGAAACCCCAACTTCAAGCCGACACCAGCCGTCTCAGCAGCCGGGGCTCCCCAAGCAGCATCTGTTGGAGAAGAGCCTCTGCCGCCTTGGAAGGATGAGGTGGGAGAGGAAGCAGGGAAAGCAACAGGCGGGGAGGCCCCTGCGTCCCGGGAACCCCTGCCCTTGAGGGTGCCCTTGTCTCGCTGGCAGAGGCGCCTGCGCAAAGCGGCCCGCAAGCAGGTGCAGAGTGGGCATCTCCCTTTTTGCCGCTTTCGCCTTCGCTACCCCAGCCTGTCACCGTCTACCTTTTGGGTCTGGAAGAGTCTTGCTCCGGGCTGGCCCAGAAGCCTGTCCAAACTCCAGAGGGAGTCCATTGCCTTGGCCAAACCGGGAGCACTGGAGGCTGAAAGGAAGTCAGAGAAAGAAGCAGGTGGGAGTGAGGCGGCCCCACCCAAGGGGATACTACAGGTGGAGGCTTCTCCAGAAGAGATGGCCCTGGAAGGGCCTTCCCAAGAGGGGCCCGTGGCCCAGGGTCCATCCCATGGTGGGTCCCCATTGAGCTACCCTGTGGCGTCAGGTGACAGGGACGGCCAGGTCCTGGTGATGGACGTGATCGCTACCACAAAGTTCAAGGCTCAGGCCAAACTGTTTTTGCAGAAACGCTTCCAGTCCAAGAGCTTCCCTTCCTATAAGGAGTTCAGCGCCCTCTTCCCTCTCACAGCCCGCTCTACCTACTACATGTGGAAGCGGGCCCTTTATGATGGCCTCACCCTAGTCGATGGCTGATGGCGGTGAGGAGGCTTTCTAGGGGCTAGGACAGAAGGAGGATTTCCTTCACTTAGTCCCAATGTCTGGGATCCAGGATATGTTTGTTTTTTCTGGCTTCACTTGGTCTTTTGCAGCGAGCTACCAGACCAGAAATGTTCTTTTGTTGTTTTACATTTCATTTTAAGCCGTTTAATTTTTATGATTGTATTTTGATTTCAGTGGGATGACTGGGCCCTATTGCTGGTGTTGGCAGCTGTAATATGTTGTTGGGGGAAATGAGGGATTGGTTAGCTGAAACTGTGTTCTGCTTTTTGTGGGGGCAAAAGAAGTACTATAGCGTGGCCATTGTTGGACAGTATAGCTGCTCTCAGTTCCTTTTGGGAGTTGGCACCCTCCTATTCAAAGATATTTCTCAAAGAATGTTAGAATTGAGTGTGGGGCAGGTCAGTGGATTCTGATTATGAACGGAAGCAGCTCTGTACAGGAAGAACTAAGATGGCCTCTAAGGAAAGGCTGTGGACCAATCATTGAGGGGCTGACCTTCCCCCTGCCCTGATTGGCAGAAGATGTAGAACCTCCAGCAGACACTACAATATCTTAGGGACCCTGCCTTTCTGCTGGCCTTTCCCCTGCACCTCCTGCTGCGTCTTCAGAGAAGTGACCACACAATGGCCAGGCAGGTGGGAGACTGAATTTGCACTGTCCGAGAGTGAAGTTTGAAAACCAAAAAAATAAAGTGATGTGGCTCCCACAACCCTTGGTCTCTGGTGTTTGTTTCGCCAGACTCAGTTCCTACATTCCCTTGTGATTTAATGGGATTGAAAGTGATATTTCTCTGTCTTGATGGGATACTCTCAGGTCCATTTAGGGGATAGAAGGAGATACCCTGGGGACAAAAAGCCATCTTGGTGCTTCCAGCTGGCAGTGTAGTTAATGGCTCTCTGGAGAGACAACTTCTGAATCAGAGAAACTTGGCGTTTAGAGACCAGGCCAGTATTCTGACTATTGCTAGAGTCTCTAATCTAATGAGTCTGGCATACTTCTCTGGTTCATTTTTTCCCATTGATGTTCTATTTAGATTGACCTGTGTCCTAACCTGCTCTCCCCTTTACCATGGTGCTAACCAAGCCGCCACCTTGCCACTGCTTGTCTGTCTCACTGCACTGAACTCTGAGGCAGAATGTGCATCTGGGTCTCCACTGAAGCTTCAGCGTTGGGCACAGTGGGGTGCTTTGGTAGTTCTTAACCTTTGGTGAGTCCTAGTGTGCTCTAGGATAATGTACTGGATGGAAAGGTCTGTTTGAACCATTTAGATAGGTGGTTCAAACTCAACTCTCCAGGTCACTTAACAGCCTTTGAAGGGATGGCTAAGGGCTTTCTGCCTTAATTGTTCTGTAATACAGCCATACATCCAGCAGGTGGCAGTCTAGTACAGCAAGAGATAAGCTGGGTTTCAAGTAGGCACAGCCCTTTCTGGGGGGTTCTCACACTCAGTTCGCCCCCTTGTCAACTTAGTCTTCAGAAGGTGAAGGACTTCCTGGTGGGGCTCTGGATTCTCCTGTTTACTTACTTCCTTGTCCTCTCAGACCAGAGCAGGACTTCAGATGCTTAGAACAGTGTGTCACAGTGAGATCTAAAACCATTTGGATAAACCGTGGATCCCAAGGCTCTACTCAGACTTGATTGCAGTCTGAGCTGCTGGTGAGGCAGTATAAGCACAGAAGTTAACTGTGCTGTGCCTCACTTTCTATATCTGTAAAATGGGATTGTAATAATGTTTCTAGGATAGTACCTTACACATGGTCAGTGCTGCATAAATATTTGCTGTTGGTAAAAATGATGTCCAGTTTGAGAGCTACTGGAAGACTTATTCCTGTTAATTAGAAGGAAACTGATGTCCAAGGAGACTTCCTCAAGGTCACCATCCAGATTCAGGACATCCTATCTCAAGGCTAAAATTCCCATTTGTCAGATGCCAGCCAGTACTGAACCTCAAGCCCATAGGAAAATATTTTAGTTTCTGTTGGGAAAATGAAGATTAAAATGATATGTCAATATTTATTGATTTGGAAAAGGCTTTGTAGTCTGGTTAAATTGTTTTTGTATAGAAAAGCTGTTTCCTTTATAATCTGCTTAGAAAAGCACGAATACCTAAGCCTTGACCATATTTGCTAAGAATACTTTGTGCTGATTTTGAAGTTGACATTTTGCTGAAATTATTTGTAATTTTTTTGGCACCAGTTTCTGTCTTGGATGCAGATGTAGAAAGAAATTCCAGTGAAATGAACAATGTGTAAATAAAGGAAGAAAAGCAGTATGTGCGAGGTTAATGTTACATCTTCCAACATTCTGTGCAATTGTGAAGTCAAACAACTGGTTCTCAAAATTAAAACCATAAAGCTTTACCCAAAAAACCATTCGGTGAAACATGAGCAATTAGAAAAATGATAGGTATATGTATATTCCTCAGGGGTGGAGACCATTTTGTCTACCATAGTGTATATGAGGTTGTTCCCCCGATACAAGCATTTCTCTGGTGAGTCCCAGGGCTTTGCTGGTGGCTCTTGAATCCTGAAGCCATGGCCCTTTCTAGATGGTTAAGCAACGCTTCAGTCTTACTCCCCACTCCCCGCCAACCTGGTTGAATATTGTTCACTTTGGTTGCTGAAGCAGTAGGTGGTGGTTGATAATCACTACCCAGTGCTGTTGAGTTGATTCCGACTCATGCCCTATAGGACGAGTTGGACTCTCCTGAGGGGAGGCAGTAAATTCTTACAGAAACAGACAGCCTCATCGTTCTCTCTCAGAAGGGCTGGAGGGTTTGAACTGCCGACCATTCAGTTAGCAGCCCATTTAACCCACAGTGCCACCAGGGCTCATATGTTAATAAGTGTCCACGGATTGGTTCAACTCATAGCGAACCCTGTATATTGTTTCCAAGGAGTGTTTGGGCAAATTGGTTCCAACTCAAAGCGACCCTCTATAAAACAGAAACATTGCTTGGTTCTGCACCAGCTTCATAGTCATTGCGATGTGTCGCTCTTCATGGAGGGCCTGCCTCTGTTGTTGACATCCTACCAAACATGATCTTCCTCCTGATAACATTAAAAATGTTGAAGAGGTCTCACCATTCTTGCTTCTAATGAGTGCTCTGGCTATACTTGTTCCAAAACTGATTTGTTTTTTCTGACAGTCCACCATACTGCCTGCACCCTAATTTAAATGTATCAATTCTGCAGTCCTATCCGTTGTTCGGATTGCCCATGCATATGTTAAGTGCTGCCAAGTTGGTTCCAACCCATAGCAACCCTGTATAGAGTTTCTGAGGAGTGACTGGTGAGTTTGAACTGCTGACCTTGGGGTTCAAATTGACCTTGCAGTCCAGCGCATTATCCTGCAGTTCCACTTTAGGACTTCCCCCAAGCATTTAAGGTGATTGAAAACACCATGGCTTGGATCAAGTGCACATTAGTCCTCGAAGTGAGAATCCTTGTTTTTAAGAACTTTATAAGGAGGTCATTGATAGCAGATTTATCCAATGCAACATTTGATTTTTGACTGTTGCTTCCATGGATGCTGATTGTGAACCCAAGAAGATGAAATCCTTGATAACTTCGGTCTTTTCCCTGTTTATCATGTTGATTTTGGTCCAGTTGTGAGGATTTTTGACGTGTAATCTATACTGAAGAGCTCTGGTAGCATAGTAGTTATGAATCTGGCTGCTAATCTCAAGGTCAGCTGTTTGAAACTACCAGAAGTTCCATGGAAGAAAGATGAAGCTTTGTGCTCGCATGATGATTTACAGCCTCGGAAACCCTACACAGAGCCTTTGAGTCAGAACCAACTCAATGACATCACCACCACTGAAGGGTGGTGAAGGGTAGTCTTTGATCTTCATCAATAAGTGCTTCAGTTTCTCTTCACTTTTAGCTAGCAAGATTGTGTCATCTGCAGATCACAGGTTGTTAATGAGTCTTCCTTCAATGATGCCATTTTATTCATATAATCCAATGTTGCAGATTATTTGCTCAATATACAGATTGAACAGGTATGGTGAAAGGGTACAACGCCTATGCACACCTTTCCTGATTTTTAGACTATGCAGTATTCCCTTGTTCTGTTCCAATGACTGCCTCTTTATATATACAAGTGTTCTGGAATTCCCATTCTTTGCAATGTTAGTCATAATTTGTTATGATCCACACGTCAGTAAAACACAGGTAAACATCTTTCTGGAGTCCTGGTGTGGCACTGTAGGTTAAGCATTGGACTGCTAACTGGTGGTTCAAGCCCACCAGCCACTCCTCGGAAAACCCTAGGTAGAGTCCCTATGAGTTGGAACTGGTTTGATAGCACTAACAACAAAGGTGGACTGGTGTGGCGCTGTGGGTTAATGCACCACACAACAAAGTTGTTTGAACTGCAAGGTCAGTGGTTCAAGCCACCAGCTGCTCCTCGGAAACCCTATGCAGGGTGGCTTTGGGTCGGAATTGACAGCACTTAACAACATCGTGGTATCTTGCTTTCAGCCAAGATCTATCTGGTATCAGCAATGATACCCTTGTTCCATGTCCTTTTCTGAATCCTTGAATTTCTTCATTCTGTGGGATCACTTCCCTTTGGAATGGGCACCAGAAATCAAATCACACATTACACTGAGGAAATTTGCAAAAGTCCTCTTTAAAATATTAAAGGTGTCACTTTGATGACAAGGGTATTCTTTACCCAAGCCTTGGTATTTTTAATTGCCTTATATGCATTGAAAAAATGAACAAGGAACACCAGAGAAGAATCGATGCCTTTGAATGATGGTGGTGGTAGTACCCACTCCTATCGACCCAGTATAGGGTTTCCGAGGAGCGGTTCCAGAAAGCTCCTTAGAAGGAAGGATGGTGAGACTTTATCTTATATACTTCTGAAGTGTTATCAAGAGGGACCAGTTCATGGAGAAGAATATTATGCTTAGTAAAGTAGTGGAGTCCTGGTGTGGCACTGTGGGTTAATACACAGGACTGCAA